ACGGTCCGTGTCACTAGTTAAAATTGCTTATTTCTCTGGATTTAAACATTCTTCGAAACATTTGGGATAATGCAAGTACACAAGTCAGCAAAATAACACTGTTCTGGTGGTTTTTGGATATTTTAATAAAAAAATCTTACATATTATGCCTTTAAGTGCAATGTTTTTCTTATTAGTTTTAATACTGTTAAATAGCTAGTACACCAAACGTCATAAATAAAAACAATCAAAATTTTCTAATAAAAATGAGTTGAAATATTAGGTATACATTTATGCTGCTACATTTTTATATAATTTTGAGTCAGTTTAAACAGCTTAAAAAAACGCTTTAATGAGATCAACTAGCTAACTTCCATAATTATGTTCACTTTTGGGTGAACTTGACAGAAATACTTCCTTAGAGAAAGACATGCAATAACTAGTCCACTTTAGGCTACTTGAGACAAATAAGTATGCTTAATAGAATTCAATCGGTTTGCATGCTTCTGAAAAGTAAAAATCAACCAGTTAAAATTTTACATTGTAGGTGGGAGGGGTTGTCTAAAGCGTAATTTAATTAGCATTAATTTACAAAAAAATAAAAAATTTCCAGTGTCCTGTGAGATAGAGAGACTGAACGTGTGCCAATACTGATAAGCTTTAGCATACTGTATCTGAGACTTATCTCATAGAAAGCCGAGCTCTTAACGCTTCAACACGAGCCAACAAGAGTGGGCTGACACCAACACGCCCATTTTATCTCATAAAACAAAAGAAAAAATAACAAGAAAAAATTAAGAATATGAAACACAAACCAATACAAAAAAAAGCAACTCTGTATGCGCTGTACCCGCGGCGTGCGTTGATGATGGGGGAGGGGCTGTACGTGAACTCGAATGTTTACATTAAATCTCATACGAAAACTACGTGTAACACTTATTAAATGTTGTTAAATGTCCTTCAAACACAAATATTTGTTATTCAAGCATATGTGCATCGATTTACGTTGCTTTTTCAGACATTCTTCGGTGTTCACTGTAAACTCTCCATGTGGACAGAAACCAACAGGACTGGTTTATCGCGAAGACACCCACAAACACACCATACTGTGTTTGCATTAGCAGAGCCCTTTAAATACTTAAATAACAGTTAAATACACAATTAAGTCCCATCCAGTCGTTGTCTTTACAAGAAAATGACAGCGATGCTTCATATGTCCATTAGCCTCGAGACGTAACGTTACCTGTTCCCGTCGCTTCTGCCAGCGGCCGCAGGGGCTTTCCTCCAGGATTTCACTCTCATCTTCACTCTCCTCCTCTTTCCCCCCGGACCCCGATATGCTCTCTGGGACGGACATAGTCATTTTACCCTTGCGTGCTGCTTTCACTGCTCCTTTAAGACCAGCTGAGCACGCAGGACCTCCTGAAGCTTGCTGCAATGTTGTTGCTGCAAACGTGTTTCATTGACGAATATCGCTGGCCACGATTCCAAGTTACAGCTCAGTCGCCAATCGCTTATAAATAATGCAACACACGACACGATTTGCGAAAAGCGTTTTAGAAGCGAGAAAAAATATGAAGTGCTATGGTGAATTTAACCCCATCTTTAAGGAATCGTAGAAAAGAGGATAAGGCTCCAGATAGCAGACGGTCTCGTACGTGACAGACGTGGGTCTCTGGACGTCCAGTCGCAGCCCGCCCTACACATACTCAGTGTATTAAAGAGCCCGACCTACAGGCATCATTTCATCTCAGTCCAGCTTTCCCGACTGGCTGGAGCTTTCTGAATTTCCTCTTTTTAATATGCTACCGTAAAGCTTAGACAATTTGCACAGTGATCCTTTTGTTGTCCTGTGTCATAAAACAATTCAGTGCATGTCAGATTACTCAACCCCAGTCGTAATTTACACAATGCAAAGGGTGATTGGTCTATAAACAATATGGCCTACACATGAAATAACACTTCAAATTACAAAACACGTTTGCAATGTTGCCTTAACATACCATTTAACACAGTATTGTGTTGAGTTCCTAGTAAATAGTGACTAAACAGTGAGTGTATGTAATTTAGGCTTCCTCAAGTCAAGGCTTGTATGAATGTTGCAACTAGTATTTAAATGGAGTGACAGGGTTTAATCAGGTGTGAAAACCTTCCACGTCCTCTTAATACCCTTTCTCACATACAGTGGCTCCAAAATGTATTTGGGCACTTAAGACACACTTAAAAAAAAAACATTTACTTCTATTTTTAAGCAATAGAACAAGTACACTTGAAAAATATACATTTCTGTTTCTATTTTAAATGATATAGATATTATATATGTTTAAAAAGGACACGTTTGACATTTTCTGGTTCTCAAAAGATAGACATGTCCACTTATTCCAATGAACTACACCTGAGCTGGTTACTCTGCTAAGAAACTTGAGGGAAACTTCATATGCCCTAAAAAATGACCCTGAGACTTGTTGGTTAAAAGTAAAATTACAGAAATTAATTGAAATGGGAAGTTAATTCTGAAAAAGGGTCTTGCATCATTTGATTCTAGAATACAATGACATTTACACGTTGTTAAGAGTGTCTTGGGTGTCCAAAAGTGTCCAAATACTTGTTCAGGGCTACTCGCTATATATGCTTGTGGAGTATCTCACCCTTACTGACCCCTTTATACCTTTGACCCCTTTATACCTTTCGCTCTCTTTCTTGCGAAATCCAACGATAAGTTGCATAAGTTGCTACTCAGTGTAGTATGAATAAAGTTGTTGCTAATAATGTGCCAATCATCAGCAGTTGTACATGAACATCACTTTAATTTTTTGTTTTTAATTTAAATATGAAAATACTCACTTTATTTTTTTTTACCACATTATGTCTTCATACTTGATTCTAGAATACAATGACATTTACACGTTGTTAAGAGTGTCTTGGGTGTCCAAAAGTGTCCAAATACTTGTTCAGGGCTACTCGCTATATATGCTTGTGGAGTATCTCACCCTTACTGACCCCTTTATACCTTTGACCCCTTTATACCTTTCGCTCTCTTTCTTGCGAAATCCAACGATAAGTTGCATAAGTTGCTACTCAGTGTAGTATGAATAAAGTTGTTGCTAATAATGTGCCAATCATCAGCAGTTGTACATGAACATCGCTTTAATTTTTTGTTTTTAATTTAAATATGAAAATACTCACTTTATTTTTTTTTTACCACATTATGTCTTCATACACTAATCAGTTCCTGAAAGTTGATTTCACCAAGTATCCCAACACTTACATTTGTTCCTCGTTTTGCTTTCTAAAAAGTTTTACAGTCAGTTTAATTCTTTGAAATCATCTTCATTTTTGTTTCTTAGAAAAGCATTTCTGCTAAATTCTCCCTGAGGTAACAGCTCATCTGCCTGAAAAACGTATTTTCTTGCCAGTTCAAGCCTGCCAGAATGACTGATCCCTGTTTATTTTTGTAAATAGAATTCATAGGAACTTTCAGTCATGTTACTGGATATTTTGTGCCACCTGCTGGCAAAGTCCTGTAGTTACAAATTAATATTTAATAAACACTATTTAATAAATAGCCTATGTATTAAATAGTGTTTATTAAATATAGGCTATTTGACACTTCCCTATCGATCATGGGTACTTGTGTTGGATGTGTTTACAGTGTACGAGCTGTAGTTTTTGCCAGCTGAACAAGAAGAAGCCCTTTACAACAAGAGTAAACAATAAAGATTCTTTTATTGCAACTCATTAACTTCAAATGTCTAAAATGTAACTTTTTAAACAATCATCTAGCCACACTAGTCACATACAGCTCTGGAGATGTGATGGAACAAACTAGAATATCTGTAGCGTCTGAGTAGAGTTTATCATTGACAACCAGCTTGATAGTTTCACAACCAGCTTTCTGTGCCACAAACTTCTGCATTGCTTTGTGAGGCCACATGTCTGAGTGACTTAGTCCTGGAGTCCATCAGAGAAGATTTTGGTGTTTTTTTTCTCCAAAGGTTAGCAAAAGCAGTGGAAATATGCGCTGCTTTTTGCTCGTTCTTGGCCTGAGAACGAGCATTCGTATGATTATTTTAACATTATATTTATTTATTTATTTATTTATTTAACTCTATATGAAGTATTTAAGTTGTGAGGACCCGCAGTTTTATCAAGTAGTACATGATCAATTTCATGTCATAATTGTATTAAAAGTAAATATTAAGGAAACCACGTTAAATGGCACATTCACGGTAACATTCTATTAATTTTAAAATGGAAGTGTTGCTATTTTAATGTAATGGCAGGTAAAATTGTGTTTAAGGAATCAGTGCTGGCAAAGAAAAGAAATCTATGTTAGATAGAAAAGAAAAATAAAGTACAAATCCAGTTAAAGAACATATCATTTGAATTGCTATGAAATTAATAAAAATGACAAAAATGTGGTCCATTGAGCTAAAACTGTATAGCCTAATTATACGGATATACCTGTTTTTATACAGTCTATGGGATTTACGCAATAATCAGGTACTCGCGTGACTGAAAAAACACTCCATTCTATAGTCCAAACATTTTATACCTCATCTGTCCTTTGGTTTATACTAGCAAAAAAATATCCTAAAAAGACTGAACTATCTTATTATAGTATATTGTTGTCACGTGGGTTTCTGTGAGGGCAGTCATTCTCGAGATATGGGACAAAACAGGTCCAGCAAGGGTAACTGCTATTAGGTTTAAAAATAAAAATATTTTCAATTTTAAATGTCATGAGAGATTAATAATAGAATGTATTTAACACAATTATCACCTTCAATTTAATTTTCTCATTATTATACCAAATCTATGTTTCTTAATGTCCTCTCACTACATCTAAAACAGTGTGTCCACAGAGAAGGGTTCAATCATTCATATGCAATAAAATGGATAAAAATGTTTTTTTTTTTATTGATGAAAAAGAGCTTGTTTCATCAAAAGCAACACTTCATAATATCTCCTATCAAAGCAAGGTTGTTTTTTAATGACACATGCATGTTTAATACGATTTTAAAGTTGCGTCCCCACTTTTTGTCAACACCGTCAGACATTCAATAAAATGTAA